CCCCCCTCTCGCCCCTTCCTTCCGCCCCACTGACCGGCTGCCGCCCGTTGTGCGCGCCCACACGCTGCACCCGGGACGTGTCCGGGACGTGTCCGGGACGTGTCCGGGACTTGTCCACTAGGCGCATCCCGCGCAAGCCAGAGCCGCCAAAGGCGCGGGGCTGCTAGAGCATCGCTAGCCCCGAACCCCTATCCCTCACCCGGCGACTGTCTCGCTTCCTTTGCTGCCACCCAACGCGCCCCTCCCCCTCCCCTCGCATGCCCCGTCGCGGCCACCTCCGCCATTCCATCGCCCCGAGCCGACGGCCACACTCACCGCCACCGCCGTCGCCGTCGCCGCCGTCGCCGCCAATCCCCTCGCCACCCCGCCTGCCCACCACCGCCACCGCCACCCCCTCCCCTGACGCGTCCCTCTCACGCGTCCCTCTGACGCATCCCTTCGACGCCCCTCTGACGCATCCCTCCCGCCCCAAAGGCACGCGCGCCGCGCAAGGCAACGCCCACCGCCTCGGAGGCGCGGAGCGGCGGCGGGCGGGTCGGAGGCACCGCCAAGGCCAAGGCGGCGGCGGGCCGCAAGGCGGACAAGCTCGGAGGCAAGGCGGTGGCGGGCAAGACTGTCGCAGGCAAGGCGGGCGGCAAGGGGGCGGGCAAGCGGGGCAAGCCGGCGCCAGCGGCGCAGTCGAGCACGATGACGAGCTTCTTCGCGAAGCACGAGGGCGTGTGGCAGCCAAAGGAGGAGGACCTCGCCGCGCCCGAGGCCGCCGCCCCCGCGCGCAAGAAGGCGCGCCTGCGCGTGCCAGAGGGCGGAGGAGGAGGCGATCCTTCTGACGCGGCCGTGAGACTCCCGGTAGGCGCGCGCCTCGCGCAAGAAGGCGGCGGCGGAGGAGGACGACTCCGAGCACGAGGCGGACCACGGAGGGCTCGCGGCGCGCCTCGCCCGCGAGGAGGCGGAGCACGCGGCGGCCGCGCGGCACGAGGCCGCCGGCGCGGACGGCGGCGCGGGACCAGCCAAGCGGCGCAAGCGGATCGTCGAGAGCGACGACGAGGAGGAGGGTGAGGCGGAGGGCGGCGAGGAGGGTGGCGAGGAGGGCGGCGAGGCGGCGGGTCCGGCGGCCGCTGCGCGGGCGGGCGGGCGGAAGCAGCGCGTCGTGGTAGACAGCGACGACGAGGAGGGCGAGGCGGAGCAGGGCGAGGAGGCGATGGAGGAGGACGAGGACGAGGACGAGGACGAGGACGAGGACGAGGACGAGGACGAGGAGGGCGACGAGGAGGCGATGGAAGAGGACGAGGACGGGGAGGAGGCGATGGAAGACGAGGAGGCGTAGCGGGAGTCGTCGCGGCCCGGGCGGGGACACACACACTGGACTGGCACATTCCCCCCGTCCTCAATCGCAGAGGCTCGCGGACGGTCTGGCGCATTTAGTACATGCGAGAGGGGCGGAGTCAGGGCGTGGTTCAAGGAGGACTAGAAAGCACAGTAAAGTGCCTATGTATGTACAAAGGAGAGCGCCTGGGCCCTGGGGTGGGCGCCTGCGCGCCTGGTCCCTGGAGCGCGAGCGCAAGTGAATTTCGTCACACGTCAGGCGCGCATCTAGGGGGATGGAAAACGAATCGGAACGACGACGATCGGAAGCGGCTGAACGCATATGAGCAAGACGCGCGTCGAATATAGGAACGAAACGAGATGGACACGAACGTCCTATCGAAACGCGCAATAAAAAAATAGTGTGCTGTGTGGCGAGGACATACTCAGACAAAAGTCAAAACCAACAAGAAATCACGACACACGAGACTCGAGACTCTCGCCTCTCGGACTGTCTCTTCTCTCCAGTCCCGTGCCTAGTATAAATACATAAAACGGACACGCCAACGAGGGGTGGGAGAAAGACAGCGACAGGGTCCCTCTCGTACAGGACAGGTTTTGGCGTGTCCCTGGGCTGTTGCCTGTTGGGTCCGTGTCGTCGTGTGGGTGAACCCTCGTCCCAGTAGGAGCCCTAGTAGGAGCCCCGCTCCGTGTCGCGATGCGCTCCCCGCCCCCGTTCTCCCCTGTGTCCCTGATCGTCCTTACAAGATCCAGCTCGTGTGCTGGGTTTACCCACACGACAGGGTCCCAGGGATTGCTCTCTCGTATAGGAAGGACAGGCAGGTTGCATGCACCCGGCGGCACGGGGGCAGGCGGGGCCTCCTACTGGTTGCGCTCTCCTAGTTCTCCTGCTCTTGCGACGCTATAATAAATAAATAGAGCAGGCATCTCCAGGAGAGATGGGCGACGCACGGACACAGAGGCACAGAAAGAAAGAAAGAAAACAGACAACCCAAGGGAGGCACAGTGCGCACCCCGCCGTCGCGCGAATTTCTTCTTGCCCCACCGCGTTTCAGCCCTGGCGCCAAGCACGCGCCCGTGAGACAGTGAGGTGTCGTTCTTATGTCGGCGCAAGAGTCTGAGAAGGAGAAGGCCAAGGCGCAGGGCCAAATACGAAGTGGCCAGGACGGGCTCCGCTCCGTGCTGCCCTTCAGCTCGAACGACGCAAAGTTCATGCCGTTCTCCGCCAACCCTGCGCTCGCGGCGATCATGCAGGCGAGCCGGCCCGAGGAGGCGGAGGGCATGCGGCGCTGGCTGCTGCGCGTCGAGGCTGCCATCCACGAGTGGATCGTCCGCCGCTGCTTCCTCGACTGCTCCGAGGAGGAGGCGATTGCGCGCTGCGCCGCCTACCGGTCGCTCGGCCGCGGCTGGTTCATTGTGCAGCTGCTTCCGCAGAAGAAGTTCAAGTTTTGGTGGGAGGAAATCGCGCAGATCGAGGGGAAGCGGGCCGCCGAGATCGACGAGCTTCGCGAGCGGATGGACCTCGGCGACATCCGACACTTCACGCGCGGGTTTGTCTGCCACAACGAGCTCGTCTTTTACATCCGCGGCAGCACCTCGGCCGCAGCAGTCGGTCGGCGCGCTGCGAGTGGCGTGTCTGCACACCTCCCGCTGTGAACAGGCATCTCCCACCCGACCAACCCGTCGGCGCGCGCGCCGTCGATCCGCATCATGAAGTGGGACCCGACCTTCCGGAGGACGGACCTCTGGACCGGTGAGCTGGCATGCAGCAGGGAGGCAGCAGAGAGGCAGCAGACGTGCAGCAGAGAGGCAGCCGAGAGGCAGCAGACATGCAGCAGACATGCAGCAGAGAGGCAGCAGACGTGCAGCAGAGAGGCAGCTGAGAGGAGGCCGAGAGGAGGCGAGAGGAGGCGCGAGGAGGCGCGAGGAGGCGAGATCAGCCGAGAGGAGCCGCCCAAGAGGAGCGGCCTCAGGACCGGCGCGCGGCGAGCAGTGACCTTGCTTTGCAGGCGGCAGCGAGTGGCTCGAGTCGGAGCTGCGCACGCCGGTGCCGAGCCGGTGCCGGAGCGGGAGAGGGCGTCGAGGCCGTCGGATGAGGGCGGGGTCCTTGAACAGGTGCCGAGCCAGCAGGAGCGGACGGAGCACGCGGCGACGTCGGAGCGGAACCGGCGGCGCAAGGAGCGCCAGCGCAGCAAGCAAAAGCAGGCGGCGGCAGCGGCGGCGGCAGCGGCGGCGGAGGCGGCGGCGTCCGAGGGGGACAAGCCTGGAGAGGTGCGTGCCCCAGCACAATACCATGACAGCCACGCCTCATGCCGTGCCCAGAGCACCTCCGATAGCAGCCTCTGATGGCACTCTCTTGACGGCGGCAACTCTTGTGATCATGGCCGCGCCCCCTTCTCGCCCACAAGGCGCCGCGCCGGCTCGCCGAGAGCAAGGAGCAGGCGCAGTTCGAGGAGCTGCTCCAGAGCATGAAGTCGCTCGGCGGCAGCGAACGGTCGCCGAGCGCAGGCGGCGACGGGGGAAGCGCGACGAGAGGAACCAAAGTGGACTCTGGTGGCGACGTGCTCTCATAGGCCGGGCGCGTATTGTGTTTTTGAGAGACCCGAGCGTCTTTGTGAAAGTGTGTACATACGTACTCGTACACCCCATGTACCCAGTCTCGGAGATTTCTCGAGAGTCCGCGAGTCTCGAGTGTCCCAGACACACAGATTCACAAAACAGCGCCGTCAACAACCGCGAAGCCGCGCGCTTCGTCTCCGCCTCAACGCCTTTCGCCGGCAAGGCCCTCGATGTCCGTGTGCGTGTCGACGGCACGTACGCCACCGCCCTCTCCTCCGACACCCTCCAGGACGAGCTCCAGCGGAAGCTCGGCCTTTGCTCTCCGTGGCGCTTCCCACCCTTCGGGTCGCGCTCGAGCGGGGCATGCCAGTCGATTTCTTCGGCGACTACCTTTACAACAAGGCCCACCACCGGCGGCCCCACGACGGCGTCCTCGCCGCCTGGGCGGACGCGATGCGCGCCCCGGCCAACGCGCCGGTCGTGCACGGTGACAAGGAGAAACCAGAGCTCACCCGGCAGTACAACGAGGGGTACAAGGTCGACCTCGCGGAACCCCACGCTGGGCCGGGAGGATGCGATGAAGTGAATGAAATCAAGCTCTGGACGCCCCTCCTCAAGACCTCCTCGGCGGGCGTTGGTAACGCCTCGAGCGGCGGCACGCCCGCCTCCGTTGGCCACTCCTACGCCTTCGGCAACACCGAAGAGAAGGCCCGCCGCCTAAACATGGGCTGCAAGGCGCGCGGGCAGCCCGGCCAACCCTTCGACCACAAGAACGGCCACGGCTACGTCAAGGCGCATCGCGGTTTCTACCATGACGCGATCTTTGTCAAGCGCAACAACTTCAACCTGCTGCTCCACGAGACGTTCGGCGGCGGCTTCTCGCCCACCGCCGTTCTCAAGCTGCGCCGCCTCGCGCGCAAAGTCGCGCGCGGCAGCGTCGACCGCACGGCCTACTCGCCCAAGAGCCAAGTACTCGCTCTCTTTTATGTCCCACCATGCAGAGCGCATCTCTCTCTCTGTTGTGCGAGGCGTGAACCGCGCCATTCGCTCTCACCTGGCAACCCTGTCTGCACGTCTCGCGCGCGCGTGAACAGGGCTCCAGGCCCCAAATGTGAAATGACGTGTGAGTTAGAGTTGTTTGGCTAGTGCCATTTCACTCTGACACGCTAATCTTGAAAACGTCTCCAAGGGAGCTCCGTGTTGCTTCCAGCGCCCTTCCCCGCGCTCCCTGCGGCCATGGCCGATGATCCTAGTATGAGAGGTCATCTGGCTACCGCGAGAGCGACCCAACTCGTCGACATCGTCCGTGATGGTGCCGCAAAGTCAGCCTTCGGAGGCTATCGTGGGGTCGAGCCGGCAGTAGCCGTGACATGTGGTTCCACCACCCCTCGTAGGCTTTGCCTCTGACCGCCACCGTTCCCAGGCTGCCTAATGGGATGGAAAGGAAGGCTCGGCGAGCATATAGAAGCGTTCTCGACCTCGTCGTGGCAACCTGCATGGCAGCGCTGGCGGGCGCGATGAGCGTCGTGCCACCTGACCCGAGACGGGTCGCAGGCGTCGTACCGAGCGCGTCGAGACCGTGTCCTGATGTGATCTGCACGGGTGAGTCACGTCGGCGTCAAAGGAGCGACGTGCGACCTGTCAGAGCTTGATCTCCGATCTCGGCGGCGTCGAGTCGCCGGCGGCGGCGACAAAGTTGTCCCTACCCAGGACGCGCAGAGGCAGCTGCGACCCCGCCGAGTGGACGGGCAGGTCACTCCGCGCCACCTGTCCGAGATGCCCCTTCGTCCGACTTGGCGGAGGCTACGCAGCTGCACTCTGTAAGGCACCGAGAGGGACAAAATGGCGCAAATGGTCAAATCAAGGTTTTGTACGCGAGCTGTGCCACAGTGAAATGGCACTAGCCTTTAAGGTATTGCTAAATCTCTCTCTCTCTCAGATTCAGCATTCACACACCACCTCCCGTCCACACGTGCTCGTGCACAAGCTCAAGCACACTGAGAAGCACCACACACCCCTCGCCGTCCCGACCTCCCCCCCCCCCCCCACACACGTGTCGCATTCGCACACACCTGGAACACGCACCCTATCGGCTTTGAGGCGTGCGGTCTTGGGCCTAGCAGGCGACGCGTCCGCAAGGGCCCACGTCCAGAAAATTTGATGGCGTGCCGGCAGCGCGGAGCGGGGAGCGGGCGGCATTGGCGCCGCCTTGCGCCTTCTCGAGCGAACCGAGTGCCTGGCGCGCCGCTTCCTCGACCGCTGCCGTGGCGGCGGCGGCGACGGCGGTGAGCGGCAGCGGCGCCATCGGGACGAGCGCCGCGCGCAGCATCTCGTACGCGCGCACCGGCTGGTCGGTGGGCACCATGTGGCCGCAGCCGCGGAGCAGCACGTACCTACTCTCGGGCCATCTCGCGGCATCTGGGGCCACCTGGGAGTGGCCGCAGCCGCGGAGCAGCACGCACGTAAAGTTGGACGACTTGCCTTGGGCGCGTCGCGCATACCCCATCAGGTCCGCGGCTCCTCCGGCGACCGAGGGTCCGTACATCGGCTCCGTCTTTGCGGCGGCATAGCTGCGGGAGCCCGACCACTGCAGCTTGTTGACGGCGCGCTCGGTGCCGGGGGGGCCGAGGATGACGTCATTCTGGCCGGAGTAGATCAGGACGCGGTAGTGATCGAGCAGGGCCTGCAGCTGTGGCACAACGCCCACCATCCAGTCGGCGAGCAGCTGTGTCTCCACGGTCTGGTTGAAGATGGCGTACGGCACCGAGCCGACGTGCAGCGCCTCCCGCACCTGCTCGCAGGGTGAGGGGGGGGCGTGAGCCGCGCCTCGTTCAACACAGCGGGCGGGCGGCCTCGCTGCCTCTCGGCCGCCTCTCGGCCGCCTCTCGGCCGCCTCTCGGCCGCCTCTCGGCCGCCTCTCGGCCGCCTCTCGGCTGCATCTCGCGCCTCTGGACGCGCGAGCCAGCCCACGAAGGGTCGAGGGTCGCCGAGCCCCGCCGAGGGGGGCTGCGCGAAGTTGAAGTAGTTGCCTCCCATGCCGGTCGTGTTGGCGTAGAAGGTACCCTGGAAGTAGTCGCCGTTGAGCTCCTACAGCGCACACTCCGAGAAGGCTCAGTCTAGCGGCCTGCGCTGGAGCGGCTCTGCACGCTCCTCCCCGCGGAGCTCCTCGTCGAAGGCGCGGAAGGCGGCCACCTGCAGGACATGTCCAGGACATGTCCCGGACATGTCATGGAAAGGGCACGGCGGAAAGCGGACTCTGCCGCACGTGAGCGTGGCGCCTCTTCGGGGCTCGCGTAGGGGAGACGGGAAGAGGGGAGGGACGAGGGGAGGGACGAGGGGAGGGACGAGGGGAGACGGGACGAGGGGGACGAGGCAGGGCACGAGGCAGGGAGGGCATGAGCGAAGGGGCGGCCACCGTGTCTCCCTTGGCGAGCGCCTTCTCCACCTTTCGGTCGTACGCCTCGTACACCTTTGCCTGGTCGGCGTCCGCGAGGCCTGTTCACGGCTGCTCGTCTGAAGACTTCCCGCAGAGGAAACTCGGCCTGGCTCCGCCGCCCGCGAGGCCGAGCGAGAAGAGCAGCGGGCCGAAGCCGGTCAGCTGCGTGGGCGGGTCAAAGGCGCCGTCGCCGATGGCGATCCCGCGCAGGTTGATCCGCCGCGGCGGCGCAGCCTTTGCGTTGTGGCTGTGGATGGCGTACGCGGCGGACGGGATGTACTTGCCCGCGTAGGACTCGCCGGTCGCGTAAAACTCGTTGGCGCGAAGCTCCGGGAAGAGGTCGAAGAACTGCTGGAGCGCGGAGTAGAGGTCCTCGCCGACGACGGTCTGGTTGGTGGCCATGCGGTCGAGCGAGTGGGTGAAGGAGAAGCCGGTGCCGAGCGGGTTGTCCAGCGCGAGCAGGTGGGCGTCCATGTTCCAGTTGACCGTCCGCGGCTCGATATCTCCGGCCGCCGAGATGCCAAACGGACCGAGCTCCTGCGAGGCGCGCCCGAGATCCATGTGACATGGCAGCCCCGACCATCCTCGAGGACCCGACCATTTGGGTTGCTGCGTCTCGCGGTGCGAGACAATATTGTCAAGAGGCGGTGTGAGTGTGAGCCAGCCGTGACGCGTCCTAACTGACGCCGCACCTCGTAAAAGCCGAGCAGCGAGGATGCGCCGGGGCCGCCGTTGAGCCAGAGGAGGACGGGCGCGTCGTCGCGCTTGGAGAGTGCCTTTGAAAAGACAAAGTAGGTGTTGCTCGCTGTCGCCGCGTCCACCGTGAAGAAACCCGAGTAGAGGTCGCCACTCCAGCCAGGCAGTGAGACGCGGGAGGCGGCCTGCGCGTCGGCAACACTGCCCGACTGGAGGAGCGGCGTGACAAAATTGGGGCCGCTGAGAGCGGCGGCGGCGAGGCAGCAGCTGAGCATCACGTGTACGACCGCCTGCAGACTCTCTCTCTCTCTCTGTAGATTGTGAGTCTGCCTGGCCGCGCGGAGGAGCCGACAGCTCGACGGGCGAGTTTTTCTCCTGGGTTCCTGTGATACTCGAGTAAGCTGTGGTCCGCTGTTTTCACGGTGCTCAGCACGCCCCTCGGTTAAGCTGCGGTGCAAAACTCTGTTTACCACCTTCAAGTACACCCCCAAGACTCCCCCAAACCGCCCAGGATGAGCTCCTGAGGTGCCAGTCCGCCCGAGATATGACCGGTTGAGGTTGGGGTTCCACGGTCAGGATGGAGGTGCCGAACTGGATGGGGGTCAGCCGGGGAGGCTGTTGTGGCGCACCGGACCGCCCCCCAGCACCGTGGCCCACCCAACTGTATCCATGGGAGTCACAAACGGTGCTGCACTCGCAGCTGCAAGCACTCACAACACTCAAACCCACCACCTGCCTCCTACCCTGTACGAGGAGCCATTTCACCCGTGCAACATCTGCACAGGTGTACCGCCGACGCTCCAGCGCCCGGCCCCTACTAGAGTAGTCTTGTGGGACCCACAAACGACCAATACATCCACTCGGGGCTGCAGCATGTGTCCGGGGGGGGCATCCCCGTGAAGCAGCCAGCAGGTGCCGGACACGGCGTTGGCCGTCTTGGACCGAGATCAGGGCGAAACTGCCTGTCTCATGGGGCTGAAGGACCGTCATGGGGTCGGCTTTGATGCTGCCAATCAGTCGGGTCGATAGGTGGCGCCCCAGCGAGATGCGTTGCGGGTGCTCGGCGTCGCCTGCTTTGAGTGGCCTAAACGCACTCGCGGGAGCCAGAGAGCAAAGGTGTGCGCGAATTGAGGCTTCTGAGCGAGTCCAGGCAAGCCACAGGACCGGCCATGTGCGTGGGTAGTCGAGCGGTGGCCGGAGGCAGCCTCCAGGAGTGGCTCTCAGTTCGGCACCTCGGTCTCGACCACGCCCAGACTGGGAGCGGACCACAGCTTATCCTGCAAGGTGTCCAGTCCGAGCCTGGCTGTTCTTCACCTTCCTACCTAACCTAACCTAACCTGCTTCGCGCCGGCAGAGCGCGACCTCCTTCTCCCCGTTCGAGTGGACTGCTTCAAGGCCGTCGGCACCTTCTTTCTTTGTTTGTTTGGCGACCCTGAAGCCTGCAAAAAAAAAGGAGCTCACCGCGCACCTCAGGAAGGAGCTCGCGCCGCTCGACGTCATCGACACGATCGTCGACACTGACTGCGTCACGAACACCTCGCAGCTCCGCCTCAACCTCGTCCAACGGATTGCCTGCGCGCAAAGACCAAGTACATTGCCGGCATCACGCCGCCCAATGTCGCGTGCGAGGCTCTCGAGTTTGCGCACAACCGCATCCGCAAGTCCTTTGAGAGCATTGCTCGCGCCGACGCCTCGCCCCAGGCGCTCCGCGACCTCGCGTGGCTCCCGGCACAGCTGCCGACCGAGATGGGCGGGTGCAACATCGACACCGCCTTCTCGCGAGCCGACAAGCGACTTCTCCATGTCGCTCCTCAAAAACTGGCGCACCCTCGTCGCCCACAACCCCGACTTCGCCCTCGACGAGGGAGGTGCGTCCAAGTACCCCACCATCGCCGCAGCTATCGCCACCTACGAGTCCGCCCTCTCGGACTGGAAGGAGGTGTGCGAGAAAAGCGCACCGCCCGCGACAAAACCAAGTACGAAGGTCGTACTACACACCGTCCGCGGCGGCTACCTGACTGAGTTTTACCCCAAGAGCGTCCCGCTCCCCGAGCCCGAGTCCCTTCTCCAGCTACCGACGCGATTCTCAATGGCACTTGCAAATCCACGTACCCGCGGCCGCGGGCGCTCGCTGCCATCAAGAATCACAAGGACTGGTTCGCGCACCAGGAGCTCGTCAAGGCGCGGGGTGTGCACGTCAAGAACAACCCGTCCCTCGGAGACAGCGCCGTCAACAACCGCGAAGCCGCGCGCCTCATCTCCGCCTCAACGCCTTTCGCCGGCAAGGCCCTCGATGTCCGTGTCGACGGCACGTACGCCACCGCCCTCTCCGACGCCCTCCAGGACGAGCTCCAGCGCGGAAGCTTGGCCTTTGGCTCTCCGTGGCGCTTCCCACCCTTCGGGTCGCGCTCGAGCGGGGCATGCCAGTCGATTTCTTCGGCGACTACCTTTACAACAAGGCACCACCGGCGGCCCCACGACGGCGTCCTCGCCGCCTGGGCAGACGCGATGCGCGCCCCGGCCAACGCGCCGGTCGTGCACGGTGACAAGGAGAAACCAGAGCTCACCCGGCAGTACAACGAGGGGTACAAGGTCGACCTCGCAGAACCCCACGCTGGGCCGGGAGGATGCGATGAGGTGAATGAAGTCAAGCTCTGGACGCCCCTCCTCAAGACCTCCTCGACGGGCGCTGGCAACGCCTCGAGTGGCGGCACGCCCCCCTCCGTTGGCCACTCCTACGCCTTCGGCAGCACCGAGGAGAAGGCCCGCCGCCTAAACATGGGCTGCAAGGCGCGCGGGCAGCCCGGCCAACCCTTCGACCACAAGAACGGCCACGGCTACGTCAAGGCGCATCGCGGTTTCTACCACGACGCGATCTTTGTCAAGCGCAACAACTTCAACCTGCTGCTCCACGAGACGTTCGGCGGCGGCTTCTCGCCCACCGCCGTTCTCAAGCTGCGCCGCCTCGCGCGCAAAGTCGCGCGCGGCAGCGTCGACCGCACGGCCTACTCCGTACTCGCCCAGGTACTCGCTCTCTTTTATGTCCCACCTTATTGCGGCCTAAATAAGAATTTTACAAGAGAAAAAGAAAAAGATCGGGAAGACGTAAGCAAGGAGCCAGCTGATAAGGAGGCGCTCTCAGTCTAGAGGCGGCTCTCGCTCTCTCCGAAGCCATGGGTGTTTGCTCCTCCACTCCGAAAGACCAGCCGGTCGCCGAGCCCACGTACGACCCTGCGCCCGCTCCTGCGCCCGAGGTGCCCGAGGTGCCCGAGGTGCCCGAGGGGGCGGTCGACACCGCGATCGACAAGCTCGAGACCAAGGTCGGCAGCGACCTCGACGGCGACGGCGAAGTGGCTGGCGCTCCCGTCGAGGAGGTGCCTGCCGACGCACCTGCCGAGGCGGCCGACGCAGTCGAGCCGGCCGAGGACAAGAACATTCTCCAAAAGGCGGCCGACTACGTCAAGTCCTTCTCGGGTCGCGTGGAGCCCGAGCCGGCCGCCAAAGAGCCCGCCGTCGAGCCCGAGGCAGCGCCGGAGGGCGGCTACGAGGCGCCGAAGGAGGAGGCGTCGGCCGAGGAGGCGCCGGCCGAGGAGGCGCCGGAGCCCGAGCCGGAGACCGCCTCGTTCCTCGACAAGGTGAAGAGCTACCTCTCGCCTCGGCCCGAGGTGCCCGAGGGGGCCGTCGACACCGCGATCGACAAGCTCGAGACCAAGGTTGGCAGCGACCTCGATGGCGACGGCGAAGTGGCTGGCGTTCCCGTCGAGGCGGCTGCGGAGGAGGTGGAGGCGGCGACCGAGGCGGCCGAGGTGGAGGCGGCGACCGAGGTGCCGGTGGAGGCCGCCGCCGAGGCGGTGGAGGCTGCGGTGGAGGCTGCGCCGGCGGTGCCGGAGAAGAAGGAGTCGTACCTCGGAAAGGTGGCCTCGATCCTCTCTCCGCGCAAGAAGGCGGCCTCCGACGCTTCGGCCGCCGATGCGCCCGCAGCTGACGACGCGGCGGAGGCAGCGGAGGCGGAACCCGTGGCGGAGGCGGAGGCGGAGGCGGCGCCCGAGGTGGCACCGGAGGCGGAGGAGGAGAAGCCGAGCCTGATCCAGAAGCTCTCCAAGGCCTTCTCCAGCATCATCCCCGCCACGCCGCAGTGCCTTCCCGGCCGGCCCTCGGAGAGCACGCTGAACGCCTCCGAGACGTCCGCCGACGCGCCGTCGGCGGCGGAGGAGGAGGAGGCCGCCCCCGCGTACAAGGCGGAGGCGCCGGCTGAGGAGGTCAAGGCTTAGGGTCCTTGCGCAGGCGCTCTTCGGGCTGGGACATGCACGTGTCGGCAGGAGAGCGCGTCAGGGGGGGGGCTCATCTTGCAGCGCTGCGGCCTGGCCGGCAGTCTCTCGACGCTGCCTCGAGGATGGGATCGAGGCCTGACGGGTGGGCGGCGATTTTTATGCCCGCCCCAGTGCAAAGTCCAAAGACTGGTGCTAGGCCACCAGGGCCGCCGTCCTCGTGTTCACATGACCGTTTATTTTTGTCTTTCACTCAGTGAGAGTAAAACACGAGAACACGGCTCGCTCAGCACAGATTCAAGACCATCACGCCGGCGCATATATTTTACATTTTCGAAATCTATCACGGCTATCACACTCCTCTCTCTCGTCTCTTGTCCGCCACGCCGCACGCGCACGCGCACTCGCGCACCACCGGCCGGCACCGGCGCCGGCACCGGCGCCGGCACCGGCACCGCGCGTCTCTCTCGCGCATTGAGAGCGACTTTGATGCGCGCGTGACGTGTGCAGATGCTCAGAAGTCAGATCACTCAAAGAGATCTGGCAGCCCGCTCTCGCTCTCGCTCTCGCTCTCGCTCTCCCCCTCCTCGTCGTCCTCGTCGTCCTCGTCGTCGTCGTCGTCGTCCTCGTCCCTCGCCACGCCCCCCTGGCCGCCAACCCGCGTGCCACTCCTCCCCCCAAACGCCGCGCTCGCCCTCACCCCGACGCCCGTGTCCGCGGCGGGCTCGTGCGCCGCCCCAAACGCCCACGCCTCGACCGCCGGCGCCGAGCCCGCGTCGGCCTGCGCTGCTGCCGACGCCCCGCCGCCGGCCACGCCTTGCGCCTCCACCACCCGTGCCGCCCGCGCCACTGCCGCCGCCTCCGCCGCCTGCGCCGCCGCCGCCTGCGCCGCCGCCGCCTCCGCCCCTCGCGCCTCCCTCGCACTACCCATCCCACCTGGCGACGCCGGCTGCGCTCCGGGTGACGTCGCGCTGGAGAGAGCGACCATCCACGCCTGCGCCTCCGCCGCGTCGGCGGCGCGGAAGGAGACGGGCGCGGCTCGCTCGGCGCCTACGGGGTAGCTCCGAGAAGGGTCGGGGGGAGGGCTCGGGCAAGGAGGCGGGCGCGGCTGGGTCAGAGCCGAGTCCGACGCGGCCGAGGAGGCCGGAGACCAGGGAGGCGACCTCGATGGTGTGCGTCTTTCCGCAACGCAGCGAGGGCGCCGCGCCGGGGGCGAGGCGGACCGAGTAGAGGAGGTGGTCCGGCCTGAGGTCCTCGGCGGCGGCAGGGGAGGAGGGGCCGGCGGAGGAGGGCGAGGAGCCGCCAAACAAGTGGACGAACCTGACTCCAACTAACCACGCGAGACTCACCGAGGTTGGGCCGAGGTTGGGCGGAGCGGGAGGGAGGACGGCGCCCGTCGCGCGTGAGCACGGCGTGCGCGGACGCCCAAGTGCGGAGGACGGCCCGCTGGTAGAGGAGCGAGCCTGTGCACGAGACGAGCCGAGATGAGCCGAGACGAGCCGAGACGAGCCGAGGGTGGACGGCGCGCTGGTAAGAGAGCGCTAAGAGAGAGCGCGCCCTCGTGGAGCACGAGCGCCGAGGGCGGCAGCGCGGGCTGCGATGCGTACTCGTCGTGGCCGCTGCCAGGCGAGAGCAGCGCCTCGAGCGCGATCGCCTTTGGGTCCTCGGCGAGGCCTGGCGGGCGGGGAGGCGGGGAGGAGGGGAGGGGAGGGGAGGGGAGGGGAGGGGAGGGGGAGGCGGGGAGGGGGAGGGGAGGGGGGGGGGGTGAAGAGGAGCTCGCACCACGCCTCGCCACAACCGTCTCACGCAAACTCTGCGGCTGCCACATCTCGGCTGCATCTCGGCCAGCATCTCGGCTACGCCTCGCCCGTCGAGGCGGGTAGCTCCTTGAAGAGAGCGTGCACCTAGCAGTGGCACGAGGCCTCGCTTGTTCCGTGGTCGACGAAGCAGCTCCTTGAAGAGAGGGGGAGGGGAGGGGGGACTACCGCGGTGGTCGACGCGGCGACGTCGGCCCACAGACGCTGCTGCAGCGAGACGAAGACGCGGAGCGAGCCTGCGGGGGGGGGGAGTCGCGGTCGCCGAGGTGTACGCAAAGTGCGGGCGAGGACGGGACGACAGGGGGGGGGGGGGGTTGGGGGAGGGGTTTGGGTTTGGGTTTGGGGGGGGGAGGGGGCCGTGAAGCGTCGCCACGCGCGCGTGCTCGGCGGCGCGGAACCGCTCGAGGATCTGCCGCACCTGGGGAGGGTCACCCGAGGTGATTGGCGCGAGATCGGCCGAGATTGGAGCCGCGCGAGAGCCCGGCTGCACCCCTCGCGCCGCTGCCCACAGGCGGCGGGAGAAGGCGGCGACGGCGGCGCGGTAGTGAAACTCGGTCAGCCACAAATCCTGCTCACGCCGCTGACCTGTGACGAGGCGCTGTTCACGGCGCAGGCCTGACGCTCGGCCGGCGCAATCAAGGATCCTTGCCGCCGTCTGCGCCGGCCGCCGCGGCAGAGGCATTCTGCTGCGCCTGGTGCCACGCCGTCCGGTGCGCAGCGAAGGCGTCCGCGCAGGCGGCGTCGAGCCTGGCGGCCGCCTGCGGGACATGCGTCCTGCACGTGTCATGGACACGTCGTGTGCGCCTCCTCCTCGTGCAGCTCTGCCGCCTCGACGACGTCAGAGGTGAAGGCCTGTTTCGGACGAGACGCGTGAAGAGACCAGTTCCACACGGCCCGCCCCAAAGCCTCTCTGGCGGCGGAGTGCGGTGGCCTTGCACGCGGCGTCCGAGGCGGCGCCGTACGCCTCGAGCGAAGCGCTCAGCTCCTTGGCCAGGCCTCCGCTCTCGCCTGCGGGTCGTGCCGTGGACGTGTCCTGGACGCATCCTCGGCTCGTTGGCCACGCCCGGCCGCCCGTCGCCGAAGCGCGTCAGCTTCTCCGCAGCGTGGTGCAGCATGCAGCCCAGCACCGACATGACGGCCGCGAGCTCGGAGCAGCCGCCCGCGTCGCACAGCGGCGCGCACCCGGATCCCGCGCCGCCCGGCAGCGCCGCCGCGCGGAGGTCGGCCAGCTCAGACACCTGCTCGCAGCAGAGGCGCGAGGAGGGGCGTCAGCCGCCGCCGCCGGGCCACAGCAAGCTCGCCCACCGGCCCGGCTCGCAAGCGGCACCGATCTCGCCTCCGGGCCGGTGCCTAATAACTCGTCTCCCTACTACCTCCACTGCTGCTGCTACTCGAAGAGTGCCTTCTTGCCTCCGAGCCGGTGCTTTGAGAACGAGGCTGCGTACGCCAAGTCCGCGGCGGCGCGCTGCTGCAGAAAGGAGAGGCAGTCGGCCTGCTCCCCGCGCCCCTTGGCCGCCTGCTTCTGCAGCGCCGCCAGCGTGCTCGCCTGCGCCGCCGACCAGCCGGAGAAGTGCTCGCGGCGCGTGGTCTCGGCTTGCTCCAGCGTGCGAAAGGCCGACGCCTTGAGGGCCCACTGGGCGGAGAGGCGCGCCTCGGCATCAGTCCGCGCGACGTCGACCATCATCCACGGCTGCGCGTCACCCTCATGCGACCGCACCTCGCTCGTCGTGATTGCGGCATTCATGACTGCGGCCGGAGGCGGCGGGGTGCGCCACGAGCCAGTTGCGGCTCGCACGGCGGCTCCGCCAGCATAGCGGAGGGCAGAGCGGGCGATGGTGGCGCCATCATCGCGGCATGCGCTGACCAGGGTGGTGCCGGCGGCGTCAATCGAGGGGTCTGCCTGCATTTGCGGGCGCAGCTGTGCGGGCGGCTGGCTGTGAGCCGGTCGGATGGTTGCGAATGTGAGGTCTGATTTGTTTTTTCTGTGGTCTACTTTTTACCTGCCCATCTGACGCAGAGGACTGGGCAGGGTCTCTCGGTGTACACTGTGGGTACCGACGTACCCTTCGTGCTCTAATTCGTACCCGCGGGACGGGACAAGGCTGAGCAGCTCTGGCTATTTCTTGTTGGCTTCTAAAAATCTCTCTCTATCAGCCTCTCATCATCTCCACTAGCATAAAAATCAACAACAACAAGTCGCGCGCGGCAGCGTCGACCGCACGGCCTACTCGCCCAAGTACTCGCTTTCTTTTATGTCCCACCATGCAGAGCGCATCTCTCTCTCTGTTGTGCGAGGCGTGAACCGCGCCATTCGCTCTCACCTGGCAACCCTGTCTGCACGTCTCGCGCGCGCGTGAACAGGGCTCCAGGCCCCAAATGACGTGTGAGTGTTAGATTTGTTTGGTATTGCTAAAAATCTCTCTCTCTAAAAATCTCTCTCTACTCCAGGCCCCAAATGACGTGTGAGTGTTAGAGTTGTTTGGTATTGCTAAAAATCTCTCTCTACTCCACAGCCCACAGCGCCCACAGGGCCGGGGCCGCCATGTATGCCCATCTCTTGAGTGTTGCCGAGACTAAACCCTCAATCTACTTTATAGACACTTGTAATCTCGTACACCATATGGCGCATGTCGGGCTGGAGCGCTGGACCCGCGATCATAAACCTCGTCCGTCCCGGATTCGCCTCTCGCCACTTTCGGGTTACGTTCGCAGGTGGCGAACAGGCACATGGGCGACGCGGAAACATACAGCGCGTTGCACCATTCCTCCCTTCTCATCACTGCCCCGGCGCCCACGCCTCGACCTTCTTGGGCAACAGCTGGTTTGACAGGTCCTCTCCGTGGCCTAGGCAGGCGTGGCCGCCCTCGCCCCAGCTCCAGACAGCGCCGTCGGCGGAGATGGCGAGGCTGTGCCGCCCTCCAGCCCCCGCCGACACAGCGACGACGCGCTGGTCAGCAAAGGCCTCGATCTTCTTCGGAAGCAGCTGCTCCTCCAGGTCGCCGTGGCCCAGCTGGCCAAAGTCTCCATTGGCCCAGCTCCAGACGGCGCCGTCGGCGGTGATGGCGAGGCTGTACCCGCCTCCAGCCGACACGACGACGACGCGCTGGCCAGCCAAGGCGTCGATCTTCTTGGGCAGCAGCTGGCTCTGCTGCTCGTCGCCGTGGCCCAGCTGGCCACCGGCTCCATTGCCCCAGCTCCAGACGGCGCCGTCGGCGGTGAGGGCGAGGCTGTGCAGCTCTCCAGCGGACACAGCGACGACACGCTGGCCAGCCAAGGCCTCGATCTTCTTGGGCAGCAGCTGGCGCTGCTTGTCGCCATGGCCCAGACTGCCATAGGTTCCACGGCCCCAGCTCCAGACGGCGCCGTCGGCGGTGATGGCGAGGCTGTATCCAAATTCCTCTGACACAGCGACGACGCGCTGGCCAGCCAAGGCCTCGACCTTCTTGGGCAGCAGCTGCTCCTGCTCGTCGCCGTGGCCCAGGCTGCCATAGCCTCCACCGCCCCAGCTCCAGACAGCTCCGTCGGCGGTGAGGGCGAGGCTGTGGTATCCTCCAGCCAACACAGCGACGACGCGTTGGCCAGCAAAGGCCTCGATCTTCTTGGGCAGCAGCTGGTTCTGCTCGTCGCCGTGGCCCAGCTGGCCATGGGCTCCACAGCCCCAGCTCCAGACAGCGCCGCTGCCGGTGATGGCGAGGCTGTGGAATGCTCCAGCCGTCACACTCATGGCGCGCTCGCCGCCCAGCATGGAAGGGAGGCGTGTCGGCGTGTTGAGCTGCGTCACGCCCTCGCCATGACCGAGCAGTCCCGGCAGCCAGCTCTCAGCCTTTCCGCACGACGAGAGCCGCCCCTCGCCGTCGATGAAGAGGCTGTGCTGACTGCCTGCCGCCGCCCTCGCCGGCGGGTTGGACTCGCACAGCAGCGCCGAATAGCACAGCCACCGCACGACGCAGCTCTCGCCCTCTGGCTGCGTCAGCAGCTCGAAGCCGCGCTCTCGCGCCCACAAGCGGATGCCCTCCGCCGCGAGCGTGGCGTGGAAGAGCAGCGAGACGGCCGCGACGCGAGCGATGTCGGCGGGGTCGCAGCGAGAGAGGGCGCGCGCGAGGAGTTCCGTGGGGAGGTCGAGGAGGCGGGTGGGCGGCGGCGTGCCTGGCGAGGGAGCGGCGGTGGAGGCGGAGGCGAGGCGGCGCGAGCGGCGCCGCTGGGTGGACATCTCGAGAAAAAGAAATCTCAGCGGGTCTAGGAGCACCCCTCTCCAAAAAATCAAAAAAGAGCGCAACCAGTAGGAGGCCCGCGCCTGCCCCCGTGCCGCCGGGTGCAACCTGTCCTATACGAGAGAGGAATCCCTGGGACCCTGTCGTGAGGGTGAACCCTGCCCAGCCCCCCTCCGTGTCGCGATGCGCTCCCCGCTCCCGTTCCCCTGTGTCCCTGATCGTCCTTACAAGATCCTGCTCGTGCAGGTGGGGACCCTGTCCTTCTCCCACCCCTCGTTTGGCGTGTACGTTGTATTTATTTATTTATTCTCCAAAAAATCCCTGTGTGGTGGCGGCGCGGCGCAGACATTGCGGCGGTGTGAACACTGGGCCACAAATTGGGGGGGGGGGTTCGGCGGCACCCTCGACCAAACCTTGCTCAAGGTTCTTGGGTGCAAAGAGCGCGGCCACAAGTCACAGGGCCCGCTTGTCCATGCGACCGGCAGAGGCAGAGGCCGGCGCGGGGAGGACATCGCGAGGAAAAGAATTTTTGCGCCTGGGAATTTTCTGCCTCACACGATAAGCGAGACGACGGCTTCCTTAGAAGAAGGTCCTCGCGACATGTGACATTCTTCTTGTGAGGAAATTCTTTTGAGAAGCCCAACAACCGCTTCGCGTTGGCCGCTTCCTAGATGCCGGCCGCCAGGACGAGCGCAATTTCTTTTTCTGTTATACTTTTTGGTGCCCAGATAGGACTGGGCAGAGTCTCTCGGTGTACACTGTACCGACGTACCCTTCGTGCTCTAATTCGTACCCGCGGGCGGGACAAGGCACAAGGCTGAGCAGCTCTGGCTATCAGCCTCTCATCTCCACAAGGCTCAAGGGGCCGCCGCCGCCGCCATGGCGGCCCCTAAGCCCTATCCTGAGTGTTGCCGAGACTAAACGTCTGGATCTCCGATCTCAACAACTAAGAGTCTCTTAACGAAAAGTCTCTGGGACATCGCGAGCAAAGAATTTTACGACCTGCTCCCTCGCACGACAGGCTCGCACACAGGAAAAGAATTTATTATCAGAGACTATGGAAAGTTCACGTCATGACGGTTAAAACGGCTGTTAACCGTCATGACGTGGTCAATATGTCATGACAGCGGCTGCGAAACGACAGCAGCAACGACGGCAGCAACGACAGCTGGTGACAGCTGGTGACAGCTGGTGACAGCTGGTGACAGCTGGTGACAGCCAGCTGCCAAGGAGGAGTGAAAGGCACCAGGAACAGTGACAGCCATAGTGACAGTGACAGTGAAGCCAGTGAATGCCAACGACAGGCGGTGACAATGTCAGCGCGGGGCCCCGCGAGTGACAGCGACAGCGACAGCGACAGCGACAGCGACAGCGACAGCGACAGCGACAGCGAGGCAGCGCCACAGGCACAGCCGTGAGGCAGCCATAGCCCTCGTGAACGGGCCCAACCGCCCACCCACCCATCTGTGCAGTACACCCCATGGACTAAAATAAGACACCGGTGCGCGTGGATGTAGCTCTCAACGCCTGATGCACAGCAGCGTTTGTACGTCTCACACATTTTGCAAAACTCCTGCTCCTCTGCCTCAGAATTTCTCTGTGTAGGGTGAGCCTGCTTTCTTGTAGCAGAGCAGAGCTCTCTACATGAGAGTTCCTGATCAACGCCACTTGTGGCTCGGCAATGGCCACCGTGGCCGGTGCGCTTTGACTCGCACAGTGAACGCCAGCCACGCGCGCCGTGCCTTCCTCCAGCCTTGTGATCGTGGATTTCAAGGTCCCAATCCTCGCGGCTCTGAGGATTGACACCGTTCGCTCGCGTGAGATTTTTGAGCGGCAGATGAACCAGCGCTGGAGCCCATCACGGCACATGCTGGAGGAAGGAGGGCAAGGGTCTTGCAGATTCTCCGACTCACGCCCGCTGCTGCTGACCGTGCGTGGCTACTGTTGAGAGGGTTTCTCATGTGGCGTCGGGCGTGCGAGTGAGCGGTCTCGCGCGCATGCATCTATATCTTGAGTGTCCTGTCTCTCTCGTTAGTGGCACCACACACTGTCCTGCGGGGGTGCTCATGACAGCAGCAATGACAGCAGCAATGACAGCAGCAATGACAGCAGCAATGACAGCACAGCAGCAGCAACGACAGCGATGACAGCAGCAATGACAGCAGGAATGTGTCAGCTGCGCAATTACAGCAGCAGTGACAGTTGGACCAGTCGGGGGATGGTTACGACAGCAACGACAGCAGCAACGACAGCAGCAACGACAGCTGGTGACAGCTGGTGACAGCTGGTGACAGCTGGACAGCTGGTGACAGGTAGGTGTCACTGTCGCTGTCGTTTGCTGTATGACAGCTGGCAGCTGTCATGACAGCGGCTAACCGTCGTGACAGCGGCTAACCGTCATGACGTGAACTTTCCATAGTCTCTCAAATGACATGTCGCAGGAAAAGAATTTATTCTCCATGACATGTGCATGCACATGTGCATGCACATGTGCATGCACATTGCACATGTGCATGCACATGTGACATGTCCTCGTGAGCACGCTCGCTGGCAGCGGCGTTGCGGGATGCCGGAACAAAATCCGGTATTTCTTCTCACGGAAGTGAATTGCTCCGAGCTGCACTCACCGAAGAGATGCTCGCCGCCGCTTCCTCCCTGTCCGTCTCCCTCCCTGCCGGCCGTGCGCACCGACTCGCGAGCGCTGACGCTCGCCTCTCTTGCCCTCCGCGCAGGCCGCTGGCGCTCGTCCAGAGCGGCGCCGCCCTGCGCGCTCCGCAGCTGCAGCCGCTCTCCGCCCAACTTAAGGTCAACGGGATGGTGGGCGACTGCAAGCCGCTGGGCTACTTTGACCCGCTCGGCTTCTCCAAGGACGCGTCGCCCGAGACGATGGCCAAGTGCGCCGCCGCTCTGCGCCGCCGCCCCGCAGCATCGCCGGAGCCGGGCCGCCGCTCCCTTTGCGGCGAGCCGGGAGGGAAGGAGGCGGCGTGTGCTCGCGTAGGTTCCGCGAGGCGGAGCTGAAGCACGGCCGAGTCGCCATGCTCGCGTGCGCCGGCATGATCACCGCCGACAAGTTCCACCCCCTCTTCGGCGGCAAGCTCTCGAGCAACCCGCTCCTCGCAATCACGCAGGCGCGCCGTCCAGCATGCCGCCGATATCGCCCCCACCTCCAGCCGCGCCGCCTCCGTCGCCGCCGCCCTCGCCGCCACCGCCCGCGCAGCCGTCCTCCTCGCTCTCGCCGCCCCCGCCCTCGCCGCCCTCCCGCCGCCGCCCAACCGAACCCGCGCAGCCGCCGCCCCCGCCCGCGCCCCTCTCGCCACGCCGCTGGCACCACCGCTCTGGGCGCCCCGGCGTGCGTGCGCGCCCACGGAGCTCCGCGACGTTTCGCCCCCCACCCTTAGTCCGGCCGCGGCAAAAAGACGAGGGGAAGTTTGACACTTCCGTAGCTCAT